TCTCTCTCTCTCTCTCTCTCTCTCTCTCTCTCTCTCTCTCTCTCTCTCTCTCTCTCTCTCTCTCTCTCTCTCATATAGAAAAGGTTCAACATTCTTTAGTTAAAAAGAAGAAAAGCCTAACTTGGTCAATCGCGACCGGATCATGACCCACGTTTGAAAAAGCACTTGTGTGTGCGCCATGCGGCAATGCGGGAAAAAAATGTCAGGCAAACGTTGTCCCACTGGAGATTTAAAGTTTTTTTTGTAAGTTTGAACAACATGTTTTTATGTGGCAGAGGGTGACACGGTCAGCTGTTTTCCATATAATAGCAGGATAAAGGGATATAGAATTCACGGATCTGTAGATTCTGTAAAGCCAAAAAAAAATAAAAAGTTCAAAATAAAATATGTACTTGTCACCTGGGTCACAAATCCAATTGGCTTGAAACTACAATATCAATATCTCACCTGGGTTGGAGACGAGCCACTCGATGCAATTTTGGAACAGTTTATAACCGTAAGTACATGGCCCCAGCCTAGCTGAATGTTTTTGTTGCCGCAAAACTCGGAGGGGCCATGCGGTGTGGGTCGCAGTTGAAAAAAAAAAAAATGGCGGCCTCCGAAGTGGTGCGGGTTTCACGCTGACACCTGCGGGCTGATGTGTGGTGTACATACTTCATTGAAACACGAATACAGTTAAGACCGTTGTACAGTTTGTACCAAATGCTCTCCAAGCCACGATGGTCACCCATCACACGGCTCTCTCAAGTTGCTTTATTGTTACATAAATAAGATAAATAAGCCAGAGTGGTGGCTCTTCTTGCCTCTTCACAGAGAGAGAGAGAGAGAAGGGGAAAGGAGAAGGCGAGAAATTGTACTGATCTCTCTCTCTCTCTCTCTCTCTCTCTCTCTCTCTCTCTCTCTCTCTCTCTCTCTCTCTCTGTGTATGTGTATGTGTGTGTGTGTTCTCTGCTGTTATCCCTAGGCGTGAATTTGACATAGCCATTATTTCAACATTCTTTAGTTGAAAGGAAAAAAAAAAAAAAAAAAGCCTAACTTGTTCACAAACTGGAAGCAACAAAGGAAGAAAGGAAGCAGGTGTGTCCACCAACTCGTTTCATTGAAATTTTGTTCTCACAGGTCGAAATTATTCGCCGCCTTCGGAAGGAGGACTGCAATCAGAAGTTACGTGACGCCCTCCTGATCACCATAAATGGATTAGCAGCGGGAATGCGAAACACAGGTTGAAGGGAGAACTGTGACCTCTCTGATGGAGAGGCAGTAAGTGTGAAATACTGGTTGATGACCCTCTTATCGAGTATCGAGGGGTGGCAACAAATGCCAAATTCTGTGACCCTTGTATTGAGATGGGAGAGCTGTAACCTTCATATGGAGAGGCAGCAAGTGAGCATCATTCGGCATATAAGAAAATGAATGTTGTCTTTCTACCAGCTGTCCCGTGGGACGAGCACGGTAGATATAGTGAAAGACAGCAGAAGGCAAGAAAACGTGGACGGCGAGGCTGAAGAAAAGATGAGAGAGAGCTTAACACAGCTGAAGGTGAGAAGGCCAACCACAATATACTTTTTCAAGACGCGAAGTTTTGTACTCGTCAACAGAACTCTCTCCATTCAATACTGTTTTGGTGTCCACCAAGATGGCAGGGTTTGAGTGAAACCCATGGCAGGGAAGGATCAGGGAAGTTTGTTTCTGGAGTGTGTGAAATGCATCGGAATTCCTTAGACAAGGTCTGCTGGAGTTTCAAAAAGAGTTATCAAGGGCAATCGCAGCAGAGGATGTTCCGCGGAGACAGAGACCGAGTTAATCTGCTGATGGGCCAGGATGTTCTGCAGAGACAGGAGACAGAGACCGAGTTAATCTGCTGATGGGCCAGACTATCTCGGGACTTGGTGCACGAAGGTGTATGTTGAAAAACCTGGTGGAAGTAAGTGTTTACGCGGAAAAGACATCTGGAACGTTCACTTTTGGTGGAATCTGTCGTTGTGAAACTTAAACGAACTTTTTTATCAGAAGTTAGGGGACTTGAGATGCTGTGTGAGACTCCGGGCACAAAAAGTGCGGCGACGCAGACATCCCCGTAAGAAAGGTGTTCTCTTATTTGCATGAAGTTTGTGGAAGGAGAATGGAGACACAGAATTGCTCAACGTCTTTTGCGGTGAAGTTGATGCAAAGGTTGGGCTAGGTTCTTGTCCACACATAAGACTGGCAGTTTGGGCTAAGGTTCGTGAGCGTCAGAAGAAGCTTCCGGAAGGTTATTGATGTTGCAGGGAGCACTGAATGTGAGTTTGTGCATGTGGCGTCAATGCAAGATACCTCGCCGTATGGTTGAGATGGTGCAGAATGTCGTCGGATCAATTGGGAGAAGTTTGGACCCCTTGTATTGTTGTCATCCTCCAGAGTTCTGTTCACTCTCGACATACTCTATCGTTTCTTCATGTCGAGTTTGCACCCTTGCACAGCATGTGAGTTGCATCGGTGAGCCACACCCGTTTATAACAAGGGCTGCCTTGGTGAGCCACACCCGTATATAAAAAGGACTGCCGGATGGGTGGGAGCTGCCTCGGTGAGCCAAACGCGTATATAAGAAGGGCTGCCGGATGGGTTTCCAATGTACCGGCCTGGCGGGGTCCAGTTCAATCTGTTCCGTCCGACTGCAATCTGCAAAAAAGTTAGGTTCAGAAGGTCTGGTCGTGGACTGCTTGCATACCATTGTTCTCCAGAGGTTCCGTTCATTGAATGTAGTCGTGTTTTCTTCATTCCAAGCGTGCACCAGAGCACAACAGCATGTGTGTATGTGTGGAGTTCACAACGAGCCAGGTCCGTACAAAGCTGTTCCCTTTGGCCCCTCCTGTGAAGACAAGGAAGGGATTGAAAACCTTTCAGCCCAATACGAGAACTGTGCCTTTTTTCATTTTGACTATGGCGAGATAGCCATTCCATCAATGGACCTGGTACCGTGGATGGGAATTGGATCTCCAACATAGGATTCTCCTCCCCTACATCTAAGTTCCCTAGTTAGGAACTGTGCTGCACCAGGTAACGATCGACCAGGTTCGATGGACCAGGTTCAAAAATAGGCAGTCCAGTAGGTGAGGTAAGTGTTCGAACAATGGACCAGGTTCCCACATAGGATGTGCGCGGTGGTGAATTCCAGAAGAAGAGAATGGCAAGTTTGGAGAAGTGAAGATGACCCTGCCATAGGGACGAGGTGTTGTGTCCATCGTCTATTGATTAATGGATTTCAGGAGAACGTCAAACAGATTTGAATGAACAAACGAAAAGTCGAAAACTGACTCCGGTGCTGTTAGCCTTTTACCACCGTCCCGGTCCTGCAATGAGAAGATAAAGGAGGACAATGTAGTCGTTGTGAAAGGAGGTCGGTTTCTTGGTGCATTGTCATGCAGGAGCTATTTTTAGGATATTGGCCCTCCTTGCACTACGCACCGATTGTGCAAAATGAGATGAGAATGGATCTTCCGCTAGAATAGAACATGGCGAAATAAAAATACACCGCCATATTTTTGGTCTTTTGTGCATGTGGAGAGTAGTGGACTGAGGCCCATTGACAAGGACAAGTGCGTAGCAGTACAGTGTAGAATGATGTTTCGCAGTAAATAGGTGATAAATTTGGCAAACGTGTAAAAGTGTTCGAATAGCGAACATCTGATGGTGGAGTTGTCGGGAGTAGGAGTGGCTGTCAGGCAAAGGGCCGAAGGCCAGCGTGCATTCGCGTGCTTCCCCAAGTGCACAAGGCCGAAGGGCTGCAGGGTATGCTTCCCCGAAAACGACTCTCTTCGAGCCGCCTCATCTCGTATAAGCGCCAGGGGGCTTGCATCACAGCTCCAGGCACGAAGTGCAGCAAGACATGCTAGGCAATGAGAAACACTATTGAAGATGATAGGCAATGAGAAACACTGTTGAAGATGATAGTGGCACGGAATGGAGAGCTTGCAAGGCAAAAGACTAGAAGCGCATAAATACGACGAGTCGACGACGAGTGCGCATGCGCATGTAGCTTGTTTCGTATCTGTGTGGAGCCTCAGGTGATGTATGAGGAAGGGGTTGTCCAACCGATCTCACCACATGCTCACTGTGCGCATGAGCATGAATCCCCTTTCTAAATACTATGAGGAGGGGTTTGTCCAACCGATCTCACCACATGCTCACTGTGCGCATGCGCATGTAGCTTGTTTTGTATCTGGCAGGCACCTTTCGATGCATGGTTATGAGAATACCGCTAGGTGACTGTGTATGGGAGGGATTATGTTGTCGGGTGATGCTTCACAGTGAGCATGTGGTGGAAGCCCTTGCCTTATCCTGGAGGTGCAGGTGTGTGCATATCAACAGTTTAAGTCAGCTGAGCGATACAGAGCATCAATGAGAGAAGATACGGTGTTGACGGAGCTCGCCACACACTTCTTAATGATGCGGACTGTGTGTGTGTTCAGGTGAGATTCCCGAGTACCTGGTGCTGCTGCTCAGTTTGTGGAGCCTCAGGTAAGCAGTGGTAGAGAAGAGGAATTGTGTCATATGCATCATACATCACAGTTTAACAATTTCTGTGCTAGTAGTAGTGTACGTGCTATATCCTAGTATGTGTTGTAGGGGTGATCAGCCCAGTGATGATATGTCAATGCCATCGCCCTTTCTTTGGAATAGATAGATAGGAGTTAAAAAAAAAAAGTTAAAACCGAAAAAGTCGAGGGGTAGAGGGGGAGGAGGGGGCATACTTTTGAAATTGTTATGGCATTGGAACAAGTCTTTCCTAGAGAAAAAATGGGGTGGTTATCATAATTCTGACGAGACTCTCTCTCTCTCTCTCTCTCTCTCTCTCTCTCTCTCTGGTGTTCCCGGTGAAGCTCTGGATGAGACTTTTCTTGGGTCGCGACTTCCAGTAGACAGTTCCTAGAACTTTCTCCTGCTTTGGTGGTATATCTGAATTTCTGCAGGGTAGGGATTTAGTGTGAAAAGGATGGCTTCCTGCTGTTCAGTGGATGCATCTATAGACAATCATAGCCAGATTCGAGAGGCGTGAGAAGAGGAGGCATGAAGGCCGCTTTGTGGTGGTATGCCAGATGAATTTAAAAATTTCGCATTGTCCGACCTCGTTTACAGCTTCAGTTTTTCTCCAGATTTGGAAACTAATTTGTGTGTCTGAGAAGGGAAAAAAAAAAACATTTTTGTCAGCAGTTCGGGATGGATGCGTCATCGAGAAGTATAGCCGGTTTCTGTAGGAGTGAGAAGGAGAAGCCCATTGCGCACTCTGTGATCGATTTGCCCGATGAATTTCACATTGTCCGTCTTCATTCATGGCTTCAACTTTGGGATTTGAAACATAGAGAAGTGTATCTGATTACCAAAAAAAAAAAAAAAGTGTATCCGAGTACTACAATCCAGTTTTGTCAGCAGTGCAATCCACTTCAGCAATTTTGTGTCCGCTTCGGCAGTTTTGTCTCCACTTCAGCAGAGCATCAATCTCAGAGCAAGGCAGCCAAGCGCGACTGGTGTGGTTGGGTTGGACTGCATAGCACGGAGGAAAATGTTGGGTCTTTCCTGGCCAGATGCATCATCTACTTGAGCATCCGAGAATGGGGGAATGCCTCCTTCCTGACCAGATGCATCGTCTACTTCTTCACGGCAATACAGTTTTCTGGCAGTGCGGTAATGGCCTTTGTGCGGGCTTTTATATGCTTTGTCCTGCGGTTCCCGTTGCTGTTTGTACTTGCAGTGCGCCATGAAGATTGTACAATGTACTTGCAGCCACCATGGCTGTATCCTTATTCAGGAAGCTGTCACGGCTATGGACATGCGATGCTGGACCCGGTTTTCAGCAGAAGCGGCCCCCCGTCTCTGCACTCGAAGCTAGGAAGGGGGTAAGGAGCCAGCAATCGCCCCCCCTGGTGGCCCCCTGTCTCTGCATTCCAAGCGAGGAAGGGGGCAATGAGCGAGCATTCGGCCCCCTTGGTGGCCCTCTTATCTCTGCATTCGAAGCTAAGAAGGGCATAAGGACCAGCGATCCCCCCGCCTTTGGTGGCCCCCTAGAGGGTAAGGCGTAATCGCAGTTGTATACGCGACTGTTGGATGCACGGTCATAAAACTCACAGCATAATATCATGCTTGCCTATGCGCTGTGCTGTTTACAATTGTGCTCTGTAGTGGTCTGTAGTTTCTACTTCAGTGCTTTGTAGTTTCTACTTCATAATACTAATGGTTTCATGAGTGTTCACCATGATGAGGAGTTAGTGAAACTCCGCCCCTCGTTTGTTGTCGTCTTCTTCCTCTCTGCCAAGGATTTAGTGGGCAGTTCAACTTGATGATATATATACAATATATATCGTATGCATATATGACGATATATATAATATATGTTTATAGTATATATATATATATATATGTATGTTTATAGTATTTGATGTTGGTGACGATATGGCAACCAGATTTTTTGGGGGGCGGCAATGGCAGTGCTGTTGCATTGACATACTTGGTGTGTGATATGTGTCCTCGCTATAGTTTACACTTCTTCAAACTTCACTGGCTGGTGGTAAGCTTTATCAGCAGCGCCGCCGCCGCTCTCCGCAATTACTTTGAGAGGGGAACTCGGTGAAGCTTCTTGAGAGCTAAAATGTGGAGGTGGTAGAGCTCTGACACACACCGAACAAAGTGCAGGTTTTGGGTTTTCGTCGTGGCTGACCCAAACTTGGGAACTCTCTGGTGAACTCTCTGGTGAACTTTCCGCTCAGCCGTAATGAACTGGTGTTTTTCTGACTCTTCATAGTGAAATGGAGCTTTTTTTTTGAAGAAGATACACTTTCCTGGCATTCTTGCCGGATTCGTCTTTGCATTACCCCGCCTCCCATCTTTTTTGGTTTTCCCTCGGCTCATGGGATGTAGTATCCGCTTGGCTTGATGGCGATGCAAAAAAAAATCATGTTTGGGGTTTTCAGCAACTTTTCGCTGATTTCGATGTACCGTGTTGTAAGCCCCTCTGCTGGAACATATTTCTTCTCTCTCAAACTATGTGTGCCAGTGTGTTCACATCATCCTTCTCTTCTTTTTTTTTTTTTTTGTTGCTGGTTTTTTTTTTTTTTTTTTT